CCAGCGCCCTCGCCTCCTCTCTGAATACCCCTCGCATCGGTGTCTTAGTCAAGTGAAAAATTGTCTAACTGAAGTGAAAAACACTGTAAAAGACAAATCCATTCCAATTTTTCCAATATGCATCCTGTTTCTATTACTGTTGCAACCTAAGTAAAGGGAGTGCATTGATGGGTTGAAAAGTCAGTGAACGTCGACACCCACGGTGTCGACGTTCTAAGTGTTTGTCTAAGAATAATACATTCAAGAGGAATATGACATAAACGCGAATATTTTCACAAAGAGAAATTTTTAATGTGGAAAGCAGAAGCTGTCACAACGGCTCCAGTGATAGTCCTTTGGGGGTAAGTGGAGCGTATAAAAACAGGAGATGGATGCGACTTTCTAGGGAAAACTTTCTCTTGGTTTTATTTCGTTTATCAACTTTTTTTTTCATCGGATTTCAAAGGAATTCGGGTGTGTGACAAATTTGACTTCTTCAGAGAATGGTTTGCCGTGGATGGTGTTTAAATTCATGCCCATGGGGGACCTTGCCGAATTTCTCCGATCCTCTTCGCCCTATCTGAAGATGCGCACCCTCAAGAACCCTAATGAGGAAATGTTGAACCATGTGAGAAATATTCCAGTCGTCTTGAAACCCTGATCACGTTTGACATTCAACAACTTCGCTAAATTTGGCCGAGTTCGTTCGAGTGATATTTTCTTGCTTTCAACTTTTCTTTAGGAGCAGCTGCATAATTTCAGTCACCAAATCTCGGAAGGGATGGAGTACCTGTCGGGAAAGCACTTTGTGCATCGAGACCTGGCATGTCGGAATTGCGTCGTGGACGAAGGTCTCGTCGTGAAGATCTCAGACTTCGGTCTCGCCAGAGACATCTATACATGTGATTACTACAAGGTTTGCTTCTCCTCCTCTTTCCTATTGATCCTTATCCTCGCGTGGAGTGATGACTGGTGGGTAATTGTTGTAGGTGGAAGGGAATCGGTTACTCCCTGTGAGATGGATGGCACCCGAGAGCATCATGTATGGGAAATTCACCCTCAAGTCCGACGTCTGGTCTTTCGGTGTCCTCCTTTGGGAAATCTTCTCCTACGGCAAACAACCTTACTACGGACACACGAACGAGGAGGTCTCTTCGTACTTTCCTTTTTTACATATTTTTACACGATAAAAGAATCAGAGTACGAATTTTCGCTGAACCGTGAAAATGGCGGCTCATTAAAGCTGACGGTGCACCGGAGAGCACTCCTAGCCTCAGCTGCTTCATCTTCTCAAAAATTCTGCCTCGCTACCGTATAATATATATTGCACTCATGCGATGATGACATTACCCAATAATGCAATGATACGGTGTGAGACTAGACAGTGGACTGATGCAATTGTACTCTCTGTATCCCCAGGAGGGAGGATCTGATTCTTAGGTCATCTTTCCTGGAAAGACTCTCAATCCCAGTTGAAACTAGCCGAAAAGGTTTCATTTATAGTAGTGAAGGAACGTGGGAATCAATACGGATAAGGAGTCTGACTTGGTCTGACATGGTATTATATTACCGAATTCTAGTCAAGGAGAACATATGTCTTCATTTTTGACTGCTTTCAACATTTTAAAGTTACATCGAATCCTGGCACAAGCAGAAGTGAACGAGAAGTGTCGAAAGTGTTTTTTTTTTTGCGTATGGTTTTTTCAAACGGCCGTGGCGGCCATGCAATGGCACCCATGACTGGGAAACCTCATACTATTTGAAAGAGCTTGAATTGACCTTTAATTTGGCACCCTTTTCGACTTTCTAGCTTTCATAGTTTTCGAAATATTGTAATTTAAAATTCGGACCAAAAACTGTTAGGCCACCCTGTATATCGTCCGGCGTGGACCCCTCCCAGACATCGGACCTGGGTAAATTGCCCCTTTTAACCCCCCCCCCCTCCCCCCATGTTCTAGAGAAGTTAAAAATTTGAAACTTCGTACACAATTAGCTATTGGGATGTAGAGTTCAGAAAAAAATCAGACTTTGGAGGTACATGCTCTGGGGGCACCCAATTAGGGGAGAGATTTTAAAAAATATATATATATTTGCTTTGGCCAAACGGAGAGACATAGTCAGGAAACAGTTCCGTGTCTTTAGAACACAGAATCCGTGGGAAATGGGTCTGGAACGTTTACGACTCGGAAAAAATTATTCCTTGTAAGGTAGAAGTCTCGTCGTGAAATTCATTGGCGAAGAAAAAGTGAGAAAAAGTCCAGTCTTTCGAGGAAAATAGGAAACGAAGTTTCCCTGACAGAGGAACTTTTCTTCATTTCTCCATTGAGAAAACTCTCGGCTCAGAAACACTAAAATACCTTCCGTGATTTCCGAGGCGAGTGTCGACGACTCTAAGAATCCAAGTACTTGCAACCACAGTAAACATTGATCATTTCAACTACTGAATACATTTGTGATCCCCAGAGGAATGTGATCTATGCAGGTGATGCAGATGATCCTGAACGGAACCTTGTTGCCAAGGTCGGACGTTGCGCCGGAATACATCTACGAGATCATGCAAGAGTGCTGGCGGATGGACCCGAGTCTACGGATCGATTTCGGTACCATTTCGCACCGATTAGCGTGTCACGATACCACCAGTGGTTATTTGTGTCCTCTCCTCCATCCTGGTGTTCCCTAACGTCAAGGTTTCGTTTCGTTGGCGTCTACGCCCTATCTTTCATTTTGTGACCTGACTTCAGAACATTTGTGAACCTTTTTGCTGTGACGAATGCCACGGAGTCAGTGTTGTTTCTCTGAATCCTTTTTATTTATTTACCGATATTCCTTAACACATTGACTGTCCATCCCAGTATGCTCCATCCCAGCTCTGAGAATCTCATGGCTGGAGCTTGCCAGAGGCCCACGCCTCATATCGTATCAACCCCCCAAACTACAGGGTTATAGTGCTAAGGAAAAATGAATGGATCGCTTGTCCAGATAACTGGACATGGACTTCCTGGTCTGGCGATTGATGACTAGTTGGACTGGACACGGGCAGTCAACGTGTTAAAGAGCGTCCACGTGATTTGTCATTATTGTGGTGGTGTTGGGAGTGAGGACATCGCTCTCATCCTCCTCAGTGCATGCTAAGAGGCCGACTTTGTCGATTAAGTGTTTCGATATTGGAAAGGAAAACGACGTAAAAGCCGGGAATTTTGTAACCCTTTCAGACCTGTATTAAAATCACTATCGGAACAATATACTATTTTGAATTTTTGGGTCATTTTTCTTATTCTACTTTCACTTTTTATTCTCTATGTATCGTTTTTATATTTTAAATAAATATACCATATAATATAATATATTTATATTATACATGTAAATATATATCTGCATATTATAAAACTGACAGCTGAGATAAGGCTTCCTACAGAGTTAAATCATGCAGAATAGTGTAATGGAATATGGGTTGCTAAGTCACGAGAATCTTGAGGAATCACTTGAGGAATCACCATAGAAGCATAGGAAATGTGTTTGTTCATTGGAATGGACACGGGTCTGAAAGGGTTAAACCATTATTGTGACGCCCCATTTCATCGCCGAATTCTAGTCATGTTCCTGTTCGAATTGACCAGTCTTTTCTGTATTTCTTTGTTAAGTGTTCAATTTTTATGTAAGGCGGGATAGGGGGGTAATATTTTTAATGAATGATCAGAATGAGTTATTTATAAGCAAGCATTTTGGGCAATGGTTTGGTGCAACAGCAGCTCTGGCAAAACTCCATTGGGAAATGTGAGGATACGAGGTCCATTGACAATCCCAGAAACCCAACTGTCGGTCCCTCCGGCAATTGAAATCGTGGTACACGAAGCAGTTCTCGAAGGTAAAACAGGGCTCTACGTCTGCGAACGCGAGCAGTGAAACCCATTGTTCTGAATGGAACCGAGAGAAAAGCTTCTCATCCACTAATGAGTCCCGAGGCTCTCACGCCTTTCAACCCGAATTACTGGTAAAACTCTTAACACATTTCGAAAGGTTACAAATGGCGTCAATTTCTCCGATCGAGAGGAACCGGTACCATACACCTATCCACACGGACGGCCTAAAAAGTTAATTGTCACTCGTAATTCTTCATGTTCAGGCGTCGCAGTTGCAATATTTAATTTCTGGAACCGAATTTCTCGCTCCCCAAAAAGCAAAGGCTTCCGGCTCCTCCTAGGTCTAAGCATGTTCATGGAGAATGTCTTTCCATAAAGACCACGCTGTAATTCTGAGACTTCATTCTTTAAATATATGGTATAGATGCAGTAGCTTCTTAATGGGTTCACACGTGTGGATTGCCTTAGACCGACGACCTCCGTACATATTGTACAACTTTTAGTACAAAGCAAAACCGGATCGCTCGGAATTCCTTGAACTTCTGGATCGGATTGCCATGGTTGGACGTCTCTTATTTCTTAAGATTTCATTGCTCTTGTGACTGAATCAAAATGATGTCGCTCAATGAGTTTTCCTGCATTTCAACATTGACAAATGATATGAAAACCTATTTCTCTGTCTATTTGGTGTTTTTCTGGAACTTCTGCTACCTCCAAGCCTTCAGGACTGATGGTACACATGGTAGAATTATGATTCGGTACTCGGGAGAGGCTGTACGACTAAAATTAACTGCAAAACCATGGCAATATAAATGGCGATTATCGACTAATGTTGGAGTTTTTGTCGTACGGAACCTCCCTAACAGCGTACTGTGTGAATTGCATGTTCAGGCAGTCCTGCTTCGTCACTGCTCACAGGGATGCGAAAAGGATAAGAAGCAATGGAGACAGACGAGAGACCTGGTAATTTCGCTGAATGCAAATGAAGCCTACCGTTCCTTCCCGCAGCCACGGCTTGATGGGCTCTCGGGCATGGTTGCCTTTCAATCCCAAAGACCTTTGCTGCTTATTCTTTAATTACATGGGAGGGGAAGCCTTCATGCAAACCCACTATTCGGATGCCTCAACCTCGAAGCCTGTCGAGTCTGCGTGAGGTATGCACGACACGCAAGGAGAACAGATACGGAATGTTCAGAAAGAAACTCAGTGATTATACAAGGTATGGCTAGAAAAAGACCAACGACTTTCAACTCAAAGATCTCCCTTCAAAATATAGCTATTTTCTCGAAACTTTCCCTTTGCATAAACAGGGTAATCCAAAAGTCACGCCCACCAACCATATAGACATACTTTTCCCCATTTACAGAGAACATTACAACCATAGACTAACTACGTTGCAATACTGGCGAATAATGAAGAGTGGCAAAGTTGCACATTACATTCCGGAGTATAGTATAGTATCTCCAGAATGTTTGTTTGGTGTGTACTGGTTTGGTGTGCATGACTTTTGGATCACCCTGCACCAGTATGTTCACAACTGAAACATCAAGTTTCATTCGAAATTGTTGAGGCAAAGCAATATTATCAGAAATTATTGAAAAAAGTTCGACATTCAGAAAGGACAAGAGCTCCTGCTGGTGGAGTAGAGTGGAGGAAACTCTAGCGCAGAAGGAAAGCAGAGTTCGACGTGGTCTTGATGAACAGGAAGTATGGTGCTCAAGTGTTTCCTCCACTCCCCTACCAGCGAGAACTCTTGTCCATTCTCAACGTATAACTTCTTTTCAATAATTGCTGATGATATTACTTGCCTCAACAAGTTCAAATGGAATTTTATGTATCGGTTGGAAACATACTCATATGCCATGGGAAAGTTTCGCGAAAATAGCTCTATTGTAAGGGGAGATCTTTTGGTTGAAAGTCGTCGGTCATTTTTTTGCTATGCCCTGTATATTCAAGTTCAGGTTATCGTTTTTTGCAATCTCCTTGTTTCCGATCAGCCTATTTCTTTTCAAGCAACTGGAAGCGTGCGACCATGAAGAGGATGTAGTAATGTGAAAACCAATTTTCAATGGCGTTCCCTTTCTTCAACTCCTTTTCTACAGGACTCACTAACGTTAGGCCTAGACCTATCCAACAGACTGCCGGCGGGTCACGCCAAGGCCGACCTTTTTTCTTTCAAAAAGAAACTCAATTCTCGATTTACGGTGCCAATTAGGCCTATAAGGGTGAATCCGTTGTCTTCGAGATATCTCATGGAGAAATGTGTAACGTTAGTCCAATCGCAGGCGCATACAGTCTCTCATGGATCTTTTAACCCTTAAGCGTCGGTTGCCGCACATACACGCCAGCCTATGTTAGCGCGGTTGACGTATATCTACGTGAGTTTGATTAAATCCGTCACGTATAAGGGATTTCCCCGAAATTTTATCTGGAGGTTTCTGGTACTTCTTGCATTCCCCCGCCCAAAGGGTACCTTTCTCAGAGGTTCAGTTGTTATAAATATGTCTAATCAAGCAACTTCAACTTCAATGTATATACTATTAATTCCAATAACTATTTTGCAAATTCAGGAGGGTCGATTTAGCAGCCTGTAGGGATGGTTAAGCGCCACCTCCCCCGACGCCAGAGGGTTAAGAGTTGACGTGTAACGTTAGATCTAATTCCCCAAACCATCTCGGATAGGTCTGTCAAGGGAATGTTGTGAGAGACGTGAAATACACGGTCCGCGCCATCCTGTTAAGTCAGGGATGTTCGGATAAGATATGTCCATATTCAAGGTTCAAGGTGGTTTAATGGTATCAAGAGGCGATAACATCCATTTGGATATCACGTGTCAAAGTCGAGCGTTCCTTAATTTTAGGGGATTTTTTTAAAAATCATATCATAGTTGCTTACTGCCTAGTCCAGGGATGGCCAACCTTTTTGGCAAACTGGGCCACATTGCCCCTTAAGGGACCTCCCGCGGGCCGCAATACCTATTTCTTAAATATTAATATTACTCTACTTTCAGACTAAGACTAAGAAATTTTCGGGAAGCGCCGCGGGCCGGATGAACTGTCACCGCAGACCGGATCCGGCCCGCGAGCCGTAGGTTGGGCACCCTTCGCCTAGCCCATTAAGTCAACATTGCCCCCTTCTTGCTTGTCTACAAAAGCATCTAGTTTCTTCTTTAAAATAGTCACAGAAGGCGCAGCCACTACATCGTCGTCTAACGCATTCCACGCGTTCACCACTCTACACGTCCTGTCTCAACTTGAGCCGCACCTGCGGTTTACGCAACTTGATTTCTTGATTACCTCTCGTTCTCCTGCTGCCATCGAACTGGAAGTACCCACCACACTCGTCATGATCTATTCATTTAATTATCTTAAAAGCATGCATGAGATCGCCCCTCTTTAGCCTTCTTTCGAGCGAGTGAGTCCCAGCATTTCTAAACGCTTCTCGTACAGAAGTCTCCTAACCTCCTCGATCATTCTTGTGGCCTTCCTCTGTACCCCCTCGAGTGCCAACAATCCACCCTTATTTGTAGGCCTCCAAAACTGGATGCAATGTTCCGACTGGGGTCTTATCAGCGCCACATATAACGGAAGAATAACGCGCGATGTCCTACTTGCAACTGAAGGACGAATGAATCCTAGGATCCTGTTACATTAGACCACCGTCACTTGTGCGTGCGAGGAAAACTTGAGGTCTTCGTCAATGGAAACTCCTAGACCTTTCTCTCCGTTTTCCTCCCCCAGTTTATCCTCGCCAAACATGTCGAGAGACCTACCGTTATTTCGACCGACGTGGAGAACTTTACATTTATTTTGATTAAACCTCGTGAGCCTTTTCTTAGTTCACTCATACAAAAGACTCAAATCTCGCTCGGTCTAACCCTACCCACCTCCCCCCTTACAGAGAAACCTATTTTGGTGTCGTCTGCAAATTTACTTATCATACCCTCTACGCCGAGATCCAAATCGTTTATGTAGACCAGAAACAGAAGTGGTCCAAAGACCGAGCCCTGAGGGACCCCGCTTGCGACACCGACCTCCGTCGACGTTTCCCCATTTACCATTGCTCGTTGCTCTCTTCCAGTCAACCAATTACTGATCCACTCGCTCGTCCTACCCTGGATCCCGAGCGCTTCCAGTTTAACCCGCAACCTCTTGTGAGGAATGGTATCGAAAGCTTTCGCGAAATCTAAATAGGCGATGTCCACGGGATTCCCCATATTTCTCTCTTCACTCAATCGTAGAGTTCGAGCAAGTTGGTGAGACAATTACGACA